AGACAAATCTCCCTAGGGAGGAAGTTCCAAAGTTTTGACGCTATGACTGAGAAGGCCCTTTCACATATTTTAAACCAATCAAGTTTAAGATGGCAGGGGCAACTGAAGCAGGGCCTCCAAAAATCTCTAGCGGGTATAGGTAGGTTCACATGGGAGAAGACGGTCCTTAAGCTATGGTGGTCTCAGACTGTACAGGGCTTTAAAGGTCCACACCAGCACTTTGAATTGAGCCCAGAAGCAAATTGGAGACCAGTATAGATGGAACAAGAGTTCAGTGATACTCCTCACAACCCACTTCAGGGCTGCAGCTGGCTCAACAGATGAAGTTGGTGAAAGACACCCTGGCCACTGCTGCTGCCTATTCATCCAACAGGAGGCCTGGGTCTAGAAGCACCCCCAAACTATGAATCTGCCCCCTTTAGGTGGAGTGTAACCCTATCCAGAACAGAGAATAACCCATTCACACCTTCCCCCACCAACAGTACCCCCATTTTGTCAGGATTAAGTTTCAGTTTGTTAGCCCTCACCCATTCCAAAACTGCCGCCAGGCACCTGTTTATGGTTTCTGCAGCTTCCCTGGGATCTGCTGGTGGGTGAATGTCATCTGTATATTGTTGGCAACTCAGCCCAAATGTCCCAGATGACCTCTATATACCTCTTACAACTTCTGCTCTTAAAGGCCCCACAGTAGCTGTAAAGAAGTCACAATCCAAGGGCAGGCAGAACCATGGCCAGGTAGCTCCAGATGTTCTAGTCCCTAGGGTATGAGTCCTTTCTTCACTCTTGTACATAGGGCTCTTCTCAACAGTAATGGTAAATAACGTCACTGAGGGATATTGATGAAAATTATCTTCACTCCAATCCTTAGATCTGACAGGAACTGGTAAAATGTGCTCTCTATTGCCTATGCTATTTAATTTTGCTGCTGCATGTGCACCATCTGCAGCCTCCAGGCAGTCTTCAAAGACAGCCTCTCCAAATTCTAGCTCAGATGCTATGAAGCAGGAATCACTATGGCCTGCTTTTGATTTTCAAAGAAAAGTTGTGACTAGAAAGTAGTAAATGCAACACCTTTTAAAAAAAGGAACTCAGAGCAGATCAAGGAAATTACAAATGAGTTAACCTAACTGCTTTTCTGGGTAAATTAGTAGCAGAAGCTGTGCTGTTAAAAGCAGAATTACTAAACACACAGATTAACAAGGCATACACAAAAGGAAATTCCACGTCACCAGTCTTCTGGAGTTCTTTGAGAGAGATATTGCAATACTGACTGATCTTCAGTCCCTTTTATAACAATCCCTACCAAGTTGCTTTCCGTTTTCACTACTGCCACACATGGAGTCAAATCCCCGTTTAGCCTTGCAGAATATTAAAATTACGTTAGCAGTGAGATTAACCAGTGTAAGTATATTTAAACACTCATTCTCAGGTTTCATATAACTTGGTCAGATGAACTTTAGCTTTGTAAACAGGGCAACAGATATATTAAGGCTTTCTATTTTGGCTATTCACTTTCTTGAACCTCATTGTCTTGACTGGAGTCTCTACACACAAGGCTTCAGGAAATAATTAGAGCATAAGAGCCCTGTTGGTCAGACCAATAGTCCATCTAGTCCACCATCCTGTCTCACACAGTGGCCAATCAGTTCCTCTGGACAGCCAACAACCAGGCACAGAGACCGAGGCCTTTCACTGATGTTGCCTCCTGGCCCTGGGATTCAGAAGCTTAGTGACTGAGACTGAGGTTCCCCTCAGTTATCATGGCTAGTAGCCAATGATAGACTTGTCCTCCATGAATCTATCTAATCCCCTTTTAAATCTGTTTATTCCTGCAGCCATCACTACATCCCCTGGCAGCAAATTCCACATGTATAAAGTAGTATTTCCTTTTGTCTATTCTGAACCTACTGCCCATCAGTTTCATTGGATGCCCTTGAGTTCTAGTATTTTGGGAAAGGGAGAATAATTACTGTTTTTCAACTCTCTCCATCCCATGCATAATTTTATAAACCTCTATCATGTCCTCTCTTAGTTGTCTCCAGAGGTCATTTCGGGGGGGATCGCAGTTCCCCCGGGTGAGGTACGGAGGGTGGGGCACATGACGAAGCCCCGCCCCCCGCTTCCGACCCTCATTCAGCCAGGAGGAGGCAGGAGAAGAGGGAGGGTAAGTTGCTTCCTCCCTGCCTCTCCCCACCCCTGCCTGCCTGGGGCCAGGGAGGGCCTTTGCGGGGCTTCCTTGCACTCCCACCGGCCTTGCAGGTCCACTGCCGGGCCCCTCATGTGGCTCGGCAGTGGAGCTGCAAGGCC